AACATTAAAAAAAAGTTAGAAGACAGATGCTAGTATTCTTATTCCAGTGAGCACATACGTCTACAATAAATTTTAAAAGGGCTGAAATCTCACTAAATTAACAGAAATGATGGGAGAAATAACACACTATTTCTTCTGATCTTTGGGAAAGTGACTTATGCTTAATTCTTAGAGCTGTGACATAGAATAGTTGGATCTCATTTTTCAGTACACACTGCAAGAGAATTCTATTAGTGGAGATTGGCCTTTAGAGGACCCCTAAAACAAAAGATGACAACTAATGTATGATGTGATCCTAAAATCTAGTCCAGTCTATTTCAGGCACATGAAGTAATTCTTCCATGTGAGGCATGGAAGTTAGTACAGGGAATCTCAGCAACATCAAAGAATTTGATGAATCTTAACAACAGTACCACCAGGGGGTACTATAGGCCAAAAGGGAACAAAGTTGTTCTCCTCCCCAGGATGGCTGAGCTGAGACTACAAACCACTCTTATGTCTTCCTATGGACAAACCGCAATCCTCACTCCACTTCATTTGCTTCCCCAGCTATTCGCTTGTGCCTAGTGGTATATTCTGACTTTTCTGCCAGTTTTTTTCCCTGAATGTCTGCCATCCTCCCTGGCCACCAGCCTACCATTTCTATTCCCTGTCTCCCTCCCATTCACCTCCCTTCTCCTCTCCTTCAGGCATCTGCCAGCCTCACACTTTTCTCTACACATACTTCCTACTCTTTGTACAATTTACCTCTTCCAGTATGAACACCACTGCTTTAAATCAATTGTCCCCCAAATAAAAACATTTTCTAGGGGCTTCCGTGGTGGCGCAGTGGTTGAGAGTCCGCCTGCCAATGCAGGGGACACGGGTTTGTGACCTGGTCCGGGAGGATCCCACATGCCGCAGAGCGGCTGGGCCCGTGAGCCATGGCCACTGAGCCTGCGCGTCCAGAGCCTGTGCTCCGCAACGGGAGAGGCCACAACAGTGAGAGGCCCGCGTACTGCAAAAAAAAAAACCCCCTCCAAAAATTTTCTATATAGCCTATTTATAGTGATAGGGATAGGAGTTATAATTTAATGTCGCTTCTACTTCATTAATCTCTGAAAGTTAATTTAGTTCTGTACATCCAAATTAAAAAAAAAAAAAAAAAAGACCTTCAGAAGAAAAGTTAAATGAAGCCTGAGGATAAATGCCTGCTTATTTCTCAGTAATCCCTGTAAGCACATTTCTGCCCCCATGGTCAAAGCTGTGTTTTAATTCTTTTCTTTATTCTATACTCCACATCCATGCATATCTCCTTTGTTATCTGTCACTTCCACGTATTTACCCTAAACTATTGCTTTCTAGGCCAATGTCAAATCCTTTCATCTTTAAATCTCATTGGTTAAATTGTTTTGCAGCTTTAATGAGATAATTCACATACCATACAATTCACCCACTTAACATATACAATGGCTTTTAGCATGTTCAGAGTTGTACAACCATCGCCACAGTCAACTTTAGAACATTTTCGCCACCCCAGTAAGAAAACCTGCACATATTAGCAGTCACTCTTCAATCCACCCTCTTCCCCTCCACACCAGTCCTAGGAAACAAATCATCTATTTTCTGTCTATATAGATTTGCCTATTCTGGAGATTTTATACAAATATAATCCTACAATACATGATCCTTTGTGACTGGCTTCTTTCTTTCTTTCTTTTTTTTAAACAGGGCAGACTTTTCTTTTTTTAATAAATTAGTTTACTTATTTATTTATTGTTGGCTGCGTTGCGTCCTCTTTGCTGTGCGCAGGGCTTTCTCTAGTCGCGGCGAGCGGGGGCTACTCTTTGTTACGGTGTGCGGGCTTCTCATTGTGGTGATTTCTCTTGTTATGGAGCACGGGCTCTGGGCATGCGGGCTTCAACAGTTGTGGCTCATGGGCTCAGTAGTTGTGGCTCGCAGGCTCTAGAGCACAGGCTCAGCAGTTGTGGCACACAGGCTTAGGTGCTCCACAGCATGTGGGATCTTCCTGGACCAGGGATCGAACCTGTGTCCCCTGCACTGGCAGGCAGATTCTTAACCACTGCGCCACCAGGGAAGCCCTGGCTTCTTTCATGTAATCATGATTTCAAGATTCATCCATGTTATAGCACGTGTCAGTACTTCATTTTTTTAATGCAGAATAATATTTAATTGTATGGACATACTGCATTTAACTTATCTAATCACTTGTTGATGGGCATTTGGGTTGCTTCCACACTGTGGCTGTGGCTGTTATGAGTAATACTGCTTTGAAGGTTTGTGTACAAGTTTTTGTGTGGACATATGTTTTCACTTCTCTTAGGTATTGTTATGAGTTGAACTGCATTCCTCCAAAAAAGATATGCTGAAGTTAACCTCCAGTACCCCAGAACGTGACCTTTCTTGGAAACAGGTCTTTAGAGAGGTACTCAAGTTAAAATGAGGTCACTGGGGCAGGCCCTAGTCCAATATTATTGGTGTCCTTATAAATAGGAAAATTTGGACAAGAAGAAGAGACACACAGGGAGAACACCAAGTGAAGATGGAGGGTTGCACTGATGCATCTACAAACCAAGAAACGTTACAGATTTCTGGACTTCCCTCGCAGTCCAGTGGTTAAGCACAGTCCAGTGGTTCTACTGCCGGGGGCACAGGTTCAATCACCAGTCAGGGAATTAAGATCCCACATGCTGCACAGCGTGGCCATAAAAAAAAAAAAAAAAAAAAAATTTCTAGCAAACACCAGAAACTACAAGAGGCAAGAAAGGATTCTCTCCTAGTGTCATTAGAGAGAGCAGGACCCTGCCAATACTTTGATATAGGACTTCCAGCTCCCAGAACTGTGAGACAATTATCTGTTTTTCTAAGCCACCCAGTTTTGGGTACTTTGTTACAGTAGCACTAGGAAATGAATACAGGTATGTACCTAGGAGTGGACCTGCTGGATCATATGGTACCTCTATGTGTCACCGTCAAGGAACTGCCAGATTGTTTTCCCAAGCAGCTATACCATTTGATTGTTTTTCAATAAACTATTAATGGTTTCAAAACCTCCCTCAAATATAGACAGTCAGCTTTTCTATGTTACCTTGCCCTCGACAGGTAGTTTTCCCTGCATCCCTACAATGGTGGCAGTCTTCTTCACCACCATTTGTTAAACCTTCCTATTTCTTTCAAAAATAACAGTAACAAATGGTTATGTTACCAACACACTAATGGAAGGGGGTATCTAGAATACGCTATGGTCGGGGCTGCAGAATAATCTTAGTGCTCTAAACCTGAAGATGGGTAAATGGTACTAACCAGCAGGAAACTGTCTTTAAAAGGAGGATTTCCTAGCTGAGATGGGGAAGAAAAGAGGATCCTGAAGGAGATGATGGCCTTTTCTTAAGGGAAGGGAATCTGGCCACAAAGAGATCTAAGTCCCATCTCTGGAAAAAAGGAATTGGCATGGAGACAGAGAATACATCTTCTGGCAGAAACTTTGAAATTCTGAATTTCAGTTTGTTGTTGTCCTAAGAGGAGCGTCAACTCTTCTTCAAACAATAAAGTACTACAATAAATCCAGTAATGATGAAGTTATATATAGATATTTAATCAAATACATGACTATTCTGAACAAGGAAGAATAATACCATTTATATAGTTGAGTAAATAAGATATATACACATACACAAACAGATCAAGTGCCATGTCTGGCCAATGATGTTTTAAATAGCCAATAAAGCCTGTAGATTTTAGATCTCTGCACAATGAATGGAGGTCAGGTATATGAGTAATAATGACTTGGCTCTTGGCCATGTTATAAAAACTAGGGGGAAAAAAAACACATGCTAAAAGGTTTACATTAAAATCTTATAAAGATCAGTTCATTTTGTTAACAATAACCTATTTTCACTTATTTCATGTGCAAGGTCAACTTTTTCATTTTTCACAGCCTCATATAGAAAAGTAAAGCAGAATGAAAAGGGAATGTTGGAGAAATGCATTCTAACGCCAGTGGGCTAACTGCTGACAGTGACGATAGACAGGAAAACACCAGACAGAGCAGATCACTCAAAACGCACAACCGTCCGGGATTATTTAGTGAAGGGAGAGAGGGGAGGGAGAAACCCCCTGAAGGTGTCACTGTGCAATCACTGGTGCCCAAAACTGGTGAGCTCAAGTCCTCAGAGGAGTTCATTTAGTTCATGTTACTTAAGAGGAAGGTAACAACACAGTACTTTCTAGAACATAACATCAAGGAGTTAAAATAAAATTAAGGCTACTAATTATCTCCAATAAGCCATCTTTTTATTTTCCTTCTCCTGAACTTTCTCCCAGTCGATGACTAAGCCTGGTCTGGAACAAAGAGAAGACTGGAACAAAACAATTATTCAGGAAACCTAGGTCTGAAAACACAGCAATGATTGTTTAAAGTTGGAAGAACGGGAGCAAAACTGAAGTCTATATGATTTTATTTAACTTGAAAGACTCAAAAGAAAAAAAAACTTACCTTGCATACCATTTCTACAAAAATTTCTTCCCTCCCTAGCCTCCTCTTACCTTGTTAAAACAAAAGCCACAGAATCTTTTAGATCAGTGGTTCTCAAGCACTTGGAGAAGCCCAAGCATTATTATCAGCACCACCTGAAAATTCCTTAGAAACACAAATTACTGGGCCACACCCCAGGCCTACAGACTGAGAAACTCCAAGGGTGCGGCCAGAAACCAGTGGTGGTCCCAGCGCTCCCTCCCTCCAGGTGATTCTAATGCTTGCTGACGTTAGAGAATCACTGCTTCAGATAACACGAATGTAAAAGGCCCAGGATTTTTGACTGATAGAACAAAAGGATCCTGAAAAGACTGAAAGGACAAAAGGTAATAGGGAAGGAAAGTCTATTACGTAAACTGTGCATTATTAGCTTAGAAACCAGTTCCTTTCTAGATTAAGGCCCAGTAGCAACCTTCAGTAAGTAGTAGCATAAAGATGGTACCTTCCAGATGTTTCAGAAGTGCCCGGCTGCTATTTCCATGAGCAGATATCAGAATGGTTTTACCACTTAATACTTCAGGAGCAATCCTTTCATTCCAATAAGGAAGGAGTCTCTCCAGAACATCCTTTAAGCTCTCGGATCGTGGCAGCTGATCCAAAGGAGTGTCGCACACTTTATATCTCCGGTCGTTGTAGATTTCGTGGTAGTAAGGATGGGACTCCTCTATGGGCGGTGGGGTCACACTGTAGCTCCTTCTCCACAGCCTCACTTGTTCCTCGCCGTGATTCAAAGCCATTTGCTCCCTGTTGAGACCGATCAAGGCTCCATAGTGACGCTCATTGAGACGCCAGGAGCTTTCCACGGGAACCCACTCCTGCCCCAGCTCTTCCAGGATCAGCCAGGCTGTGTGGATGGACCGGTTCAGGATGGATGTGAACACAAGATCAAACTCAAAGTTTAGCGCTTTGAGTTGCTTCCCACAGTTCCGAGCTTCTTTCATTCCTTCACTGTTAAGTTTCTGATCCACCCAGCTACAAAAACGGTTCTCTTTATTCCAAGCACCCTCTCCATGTCTTAACATAATCAGTTTGTACTTGGACATACTGATGGCTGAGCTTCTCTAGTGCTTTCCAATGGGCCAGTGTTCAGTGACAGCAATACATCTAGAAAGAGAAGAAAAAAAAGTATAAGTTATATTCTTCATTCAACTAACCACCTGGGGGTGGAAGCACAACTTTTCAACAGCCAGTTTCTAAAACACACTGGAATGATTCCTTGAACAGTTTTGACATCAGACATCCGGCAACTCATACATACTGTGGCACATCCAGGCAGAGTCTACAGATAATTACAGGGAACCTAGTTAGTTGACAAATTTTCTGATGGCTGGGTAGAAAGTTAATTGTATGACACAAAACAACAGAACACTTCACTCTATTGGCATATGCTACACTTCCACCAGATCAAAAGGCAGTTTCTGCTTCCAGGAGACAGGATTTAATAGAATGAGCTTTAGGTGTCTAAAAGGATGACTCGTAGTTGGGAACTCCCAGGTCTGAGAAGCTGACTCGAGACTGAAGGCACCCTTCTCATTTTGTTTCCCCCTCTGGTGGAGAAATAATTTACCAGTCTCGTCTTATTATCGAAGTTATTAAACATGTTAATTCAATAAACCACCACATTCATCTGGTATGTAAATCATTGATTGGTGGCAACTAGCTCTTCAATGCCACAGGCTACATCACATACAAGAAAACCTAAGGTTCAACATTTAAACATTAAAATGATTTAAATCAACATTAACACCCAATATGGTACTCACCTAAATAATCTTTCACCTGCCTCAAGATAGAGTTTTTGGCAGGAATAAATTGGATGCAAAACAAGCTATCAAATTAAGCAGCTGAGAGATGCTGCCTGTAGAAACAGATTACCAGAAGCAGGTCTGTAGGAGTGAAAGGAAGCACACTGATAAGGAGGCCCCCCTCTCCTTCTCCCAACCCTTCAGCTGTCCTACACATGCCAGCCACATCTCAGCAGGCGAAGACTCTAGTAAAGAGGGACAGGCAACCCTAAAGTGTTTCTGAACTTCCTAAGTGAAGCTGCCAGCCCAAAGATCTGCTGGGCCCACTCTGTCCCCTGGAGAATCTTCGGACTGGCTGCATCAGCCTGCCTCGCTCTCCTTGCAGTGGACAGATCTACACTGACAAACCCGGCTCAGTTTACTTGCCCAGCGCTTTCCACCTCCAGCCCAGCACTTTCCACACTGGAGAGTAGAGATTATATGAACATCAGGGCCTGGGCTTCTGCCATTCTTGGCAACTTCCATTAACTGGAGATTTTCTGTCCCACTTAAACTGTGATTCACCCACAGTTATATAACAATCAATGACAAAGTTAATTGGAATCTAGATCTAATTTCTTCCTTCCTTTAGTAATTCCTAGAGATTCTCAAGGGGGGAAAATGTCTTTAAAACAAAGCTTCCAATTTCAGTGGAGGGCCAACAGAGGGCCCAAGGGAGGAAGCAGATTGAGGTGATTTGCAAGTGGCTGAAAGGCTACAATGGTTAGGTTTATGACTTCCCTTTCTCATCAGGTATCAATAAAATTTGATGCTTTATTTAGTGCATGTGAAGTGGGGAAGCATCAGGTCACTGCAAGAAGCTGGGCTAAGGACTCAGGTGAAGGTACCTTGCAGAGCTAAGACTTTCCAGAGGGAAAGCAATGTCTCTATTCTCAGCCCAGATGGGCATCGGGTGGCAGAAGAACAGAGAATGGGATGAAAGAACTGGGCAGTGTTTGGCTAGGGGATTACCGGTGCCCGGAAGAGGAATAATCATGAAACTAATGATGCTCAAGTTTCAGTAATGAATTCACATCGTTGAGAATGTGTGTGTGTGTGTGTGTGTGTGTGTTTAATCAGCAGAAGACACTCCTGTATTGCTTTTTTTTTGTAAAGGGCCCACCCCAATCCACTAAGTACTAGAAGTTTCAGGCCCATCAAAAACTGGATCCATGCCCACGCAACATTTACTGTTTTGTTTTCGGTGGTGGTGAGGAGGGGGATGGGGAAAAGAGAAGTTATCAATTGTTCTCTACCTCAGCCCTTACTGTGTCTTGTCAAACAAGAGCTCCTTAGGCTGATGAAGCTACTTTCCCTTCAAATGAAGAAGGTGTGATAGACAAATATTATAGGCAGAGGCACTTCTCCATCATCTTTTGATTAGAAACTATATGGAGGCAACAAAAAAAATGTAGCAATAATATCATGAACACTGAGGCAACAATCACCAAGCTCAGCAGTATTTTAATCTGCTCTATTTGCTTACTTAAAGGAATAAAACAATTTCTGTTTCTTCCCCTCAAAATATATATATTGGAGCAGAGAAATAGTGCTACAGCCACAAGGACTCTACAAATAAATACCCACCTGCGCTTTACTCCGGTGTACAGAGGGCGAATACAGGATAAGGTACCAAACTGCAGCATCTACCTCAGGTCAACAGAAAGTCCCTTCCCTCTCTCCTCCTTGCTATCAACTGATCTTTGCCATTTAATTAACTACTGAATATTCACAAAGGAGCTGTTGAGGTTTATAGTTTGCATTCTTTACAATTTAATCATTGTGGGAGCTGGTATGTCAAGTGTCAACAAACATAACACTGTAGTCAGTTTCATTTAAAGTTTCAGGCAGATCTGTGAGGAGCAGTGCTGTGGGGCTGCAAGGTGGTAGGAAAAGTGCTGAACTGCAGGGAACATGCGCTTCTCTGATGGAAGCAATGGACATTGATGTGTGCATCGACAAAGCATTTGTATAATCTGGTCTCGCTGAGCTAAGGGTACCATTCTAGAACTTTTCTGGAGAACAAGGAGAAGCCAGGGCTGCTGAAAACAAAGACTGGAGAGAATGCAAGACTCAGACCAGACAGAACCTGTGGATTCTGTTTTGTTTTTAGGGTAAATAAATGTCTTTTTTTTTAATGTGATCATTTCAGCTCTCAGAAGCTCAAATGAAAAATGAAGGGAGTAGCTGCTACTTAGCTCCAGCCCATTTCTCTGTGAGACTGAGAACTGGGGTCCTCAATCTTCCAATTCTCAAAAGAACTGGAAATGTGAATTTTATGTGATATCTAATACAAATACTAGCAACTAATTTGAATACATTTAAAAAATGTGAGCTAAACAAGACATTTCTGAGGGTAGATTGAGTCTGCTAGTGTATGACTGTGACTTAAAGAGAAACCTCCTCCAGGCCTCAGGTGAATGAGGACCACCACCCCCCAGCCCCGCCTTCCTGCCCCCTGGAGCTGGTCAGACCCCAAGCCTCCAGGCTCTAACCCCAGCCTTCCTCTGTAGTTGTCCAGCACACTCTTTCAAAGGACAGACCCTCTAATCCCCACGTGTGCCAGGCTTCCTTGTCCCTGACCCTCTCTTCACCAAAACTTCGCCAGTGCCCTGCAGAGTCCCAGCTCTGTAATCAAACTCCTACTCAACTTTGGACTCTTCTGGAATGTTTCCTCTAGCTCTCAACTTTAACCAAGCTGAAAATGAACTGAACACCAAACTATTCCCAGGTGTCTGCTTCTCTCTTCAGCAGGGGTGTTCGTGCCTCGTATCCTGGGGCAGGGGCTGCTGACGAGCAGGGTCCCGCTCCCTCCCTCTCAATAGTACTTCCTGTCCAAATGCCTCCATCCCCACCATCTTTTGGGCAGGTGGGGGGAGCTTTGATTCTGAGCCTTGCAATATTCAGCTGTAGCTCTCTTGCCCTCATATATTAGCTACAAACTTCCTGAAAACTGAGTACCCTATTTAAAACCCTCAGATTACTTCCTGTTGATCTTAGGACAAAGCTCAAAATCCTTAATGTGACCTGCAAGACTTTGGTTTTATTTCCTTGAACATGCCATGTTCTTTCTGGCCTTGGGACCTCTGCACACACTGTCTCCTACACAGAACCCTCACCCAACCCCCCTCCCCTCCACCCCCATTTCAGTCCCTCCCTGCTTTGGGGGCCTGCTAGTTATCCTTTCAATCAGCTGTGTCCAATCAAAATGTAATGCAAGCCACATATAAGTGGCTTTTTTAAATTTGTAATTTAAAATTTTCTAAAAGCCGTACTAAGCAGCAAAAATAGGTGAAATTTTAATAATACATTTTATTTAACCCTTTAGGTTCAAAAGATTATCATTCTAACATATGATCTATATAAAATTCTGAATGAGGTATTTTACTTTCTTTTTTTCTTAGTAAGTTGAAACCTGATGTGTATTTTATACTTAAAGCACATCTCCATTTCGACTAACCACATTTCAAGGGCTCCGTAGCCACACGTGACCAGTGGCTACTGTATTGACAGGTGTAGCTTTAGCGCTTAGCTTAAATGTTATTTCCTCTAGGCTAGTCGTCCTCAAACTTTAATGTGCATCAGAATCACCAAGAGGACTGGTTCAAACAGGCTGCTGGGCCCCACTTCCAGAGCCTGAATGAATAGGTCTGGGGCAGGCCTGAGAATCTGTATTTCTAACAAGCTTCCAGGTGATGCTGAGGCTGCTGGTCTGAGGACAATGCTTTTAAAGCCTCTGCAGACTTCTCTGCCCTTCTTTCCCACCCACTGGGAAGTGGTAAGGTGCCTCCACAGCCCCCTGCTTTAGGACACTAGGTGCCGTTGTGATGGGTCACTTATGACAGATCACTTGTTCCACATCTGTGTGCCCTGTTAGACTGTAAGCTGCATCAAGGTTGGTCTGACTCGCTGCCCCATCTCTAGAACCCAGCATGACACCTGACACATACTAGGTACTTAGTAGGTGTGTTGACTGAATCAAAGTTAGGCAAAAAGGATTAGCTTGTGCCAATAAGGCTAAGGCCTGACATTTTTAGTGGTAACTACCAAAGCAAAAATAGTCAGGCCCGAGACTTTAGGAAGCTTTAACTCAAGAATTCCAATGTATTTGATGGCAAAGGCAGCGCCAAGAATAATCATCCATTATATTTTTCTTTTGTTACAGTTTAGTATAACAACTAGACAACTAAACATGAAAGGCCATAATAATCTCCACAGAGAAAAGAGAGACACTGGTTGACTTGTCCAAAAACACAAAGCCACTAAATGGAATTGGAACTGCGATCCAGGTCTGTGCCTCTGACACCCGCACTCTTTCTG